TATCGATACTTACACAAATAGTATCGATATTTTATGTTTACACCTATTATCATTAAATCGATAGATTTTTACTGTTTACATTGTAAATTTTCCTATAACTTTAAAGTAATCGATTTCAAAATTATAAGTATCAATACTTGTTATACATGTATTGATACTTTGTGTGTGCAAATTGTTGAGAAACATACTGGACTAAAAGAATCGATACATATACAAAGAGTATTGATTCTTTATGTTTACACCTATTATTAGGTACCGAGGTTCAACATATTACCGTGTACATTGTTAATTTACCTATTACATTTAAATAATAGGTTTCAAAATTATAAGAATCGATACTTATATGACAGTATCGATATTTGTACATTTACGCCTATTTTCATTATACCGGTAGAAAAGTTTATCGTGTACATTGTTAATTTACTTGTTACTTTAAAGTAACAGGTTTCGAAATTCCACGTATCGATACTTTATACATGTGTATCGATACTTGATGTTTACATATATTATCATTCTACTAATTGACTTTTACCGTTTTCATTGGAAATTAACCTATTACTTTAAAGTAATAGGTTTCGAAATTATAAGTATGAAAAATATATATATGTGTATCGATACATTTTGCGTGCAAATTGTTAGAGAAACATACTGGAATTGAAGTATCGAGACCAATATAACAAAGTATTAATACAATGTGTTTACGTTATTATCATTATACCAGTATACTTTTACTTTTTACATTATAAATTTACCTATTACTTCTACAATGCTCTTTATATATGGGTTATCATAATGTTGGATTTACACATAAGACATCTACAATGCACTTCAAAGAGGTAAAACAAAGGAAATCATCAATGGGGATGTCAATGCACTAATTGATTACTTTAAATCGGTACTTGGAATATCGATACTTGAAATTTCGAAACCTATTACTTTAAAGTAATAGGTAAATTAACAATGTAAACGGATAAGTCAATTCTTTCTCAGAATCCCTCCATGTTTTATGCAACTACGAGACATTTCCATATGTTCCCTTGTATTGTGTACTTGAACCTTGCCAAACAGTCTGTAGAATAGAGTCTCCCGCAAGTCGTGGTCGGAATCAATTATGTAGTTAGGATTATCCAGGTTAATCATGTTGACTGCATAGCCAATAAAACCCCCTTGTAGGGTCCAAATGGTAAGCTAAGAATTGGTAAGACAAGCTTTCTTTGAGGGTCATTGAACTCAACCCCTCCCAGGTAAGGACTGCATGATTGAACATTACATATAATAGTTGTATTAAGTTCTTGAAGATTTATTCTTCAATGTATATAAGAATAGTTGTAATGATCTCCGTTAACATTTCGAAACCAATAAGTATCATGCATGCAATACCTTATATCCTCGAGGCAGAGAAATGTAGCTATGCCTTTTATATTTTAACCGAATATGTTATTTATATTCAATCAATACTATTACCCAAGTCTCGATACTTTTGTGTAAGGTATCGATATTTTCGATACGTTTTCATTTTTTTTTCAATTCCTAAAGTATCGATACTATGATACATATACTTATAAAAGTATCGATACTTTTAACATATCCGATAGTACTTTACCGGTTTTGTCATATTGAAACCGATTTTTTCAAATTTTAACATGTTATATTGTCATGTATCGATACATGTGTATAAGGTATCGATATTTTATAGGCGCTATTATTGCAATTATTTTAAATTCCTAAAGTACCGATACTTTGGTGCATATACTTATAAAAATATCGATACAAATTTCAACCATTCTGGTCTCTTTAACGGTTTTGTCAAACTGAACCGGTTTTGTCAAAACTTCAACCTGTTAAATTGTCATGTATTGATACATATGTGTAAGGTATCGATACTTTCGCGACATTTTCCTCTTTTCATTTCTTTTAAATTCCTACAGTACCGATACTTTGGTACATATACTTATACCCTAAATTTCAACCATTCCGGTAGCTTTTTTGTAACACCCCAATTTAGGGGTCAAATTATAAGTTTTTGAAACTTATAGTCAGTTTTAGAAAGTAAAGGAAATTCATAGACTCAACCTTGAATTTATCCATTTTTGTAGGACAGAGAAAAATTTAAACCCCCTTCCCTGATCAGTCTGGTTTACCCCAAAAATTAATCCCAAATCCATCTCACAGCTGACCCTCCTTTGCCACCATATTCTGTCGCCGTCCGGCCATCGTTCGCCGCTCCAATGCCACCTATAGACTCACTGTCGAACAATGATCAAAACCCAACCCCTAGCCCGTCCTGAATCGACATCGTTCGCTGTAAATTATGCCAGAAAGTCATGTCAAAAACCATTCGTCATCGAGTATATCTTCGCCGATTCCGATTGCCACCTGCATTGTCTCGCCTCACCACCTGCACCATTGGATTCACCGACATCATGCACTTAAAACATGACCGATTTTGTTCACCGTGGATGCACCGTCATTGGTCCTCCGTTTGGGTAAGTTCTGATAGGTTTGTAGGTGAATTTGGTATGGTTTAAGTGTGATATTGGATTGGTTTTGGGTGTAAATGAATTCCTGGTTGTGTTGCGAGTGATCGGAATGTAAAAATGGTCCAGGCCACCGCCGCACGCACCATCACGTGCCGGCAGTGCACGTGGGGGTCTCCGACCGGTCCAAGAAATTTATAGAACCGGTCTAGGCAGAACCAACTTGTCTGCTCGACCCGAACCGTCGACTTTGACTCGAATCGTTGACTTTGGTCAGAGTTGACCGGTCTGACCGTTGACCGTTGATTTTGACCGAAAAAGTTAAATTTTCTGAAAATCTGTATTTTATTTTTTTCGACATTCTGAGCCCAAATTCGAAGTTCGTTTTGCCAGATTCGCACTCGGTTAGTCATTTTTCAAGGTTCTATCTTCAAATTCAAGTTAGTTTCTCATTTAAGTTCAGTTTCTAACGTAAATTCATTTACTTTGTATCCGAGGAATTATTGGACGTTGGATTCAAGTTCGAGATTGATCGATTGGAGTTTAAATGTTCGATCGGTGGGGCTAAGAAATCGAGGTAATATATTTCTACCTTATACATGTTTTATGGAATATGTTAGAAATTGATAGATATAAGGATGAGTATAATTGGTCACATGTATGTAGTGATGAATTCCTAAACTCGATTCAAATACTATAAAAAGTCAATAACCGGATAAGACTTATATGGCTCGCTTAAGAAAGTGGAAGACCAGTCAAAAATATTAATAATAAGTTCGGTGATTCAATAATAAATGAATTGATTTCAAGATCCGTAAATTTTGATAAAATTTATTTAAAGGCTAAATATCAGGATTTATGTGGATTAGAAATTACCAAAATAACCCTATAGGGGCAAAATTACAAAAATACCCTTGTACTATAAAAGACCAAGACTTCTCCGAAAGGTATAAAATAACTCTAAAAGAACCTACTGGATCAATTATCAAAAAAATTGCATAGGATTGAATTGAAAGGAATTATTGAAATAACCTCGAGATTTGTAATAATTATAATAACCCCTACTGATCAAAGAAACAAATACCCTGAACTCTAAATGAACTATAATACATGAAGCCTAAAATATCAGAAGTAATGTCATTGATAGATTGAAATAAATGATAAGTTCAGATTAAATAAAAAGACCGGACGAAAGAAAAAGATTGAAATACCCTAGATATGTAAAATGACCAAAATACCCTTATGTCCTAGAATAAGTGAATGTCTTGGATTAATTAAGGAATCCAAATAAGCATGGATGTTATACCATCCCTAAGATCCATTCGGCGATGATTCTGAAGATGATCTATGGATAAGAAATGTTGGTATTAAAGAGTGAATACTCTGAAAAGGCAACGAATTAACCGGTTGATATGCATTAGTTCTGGGAATTATTCAACTCGAGTTAACTTGATATTCCGATAGATCGACATAAAACGTAAATTTCCTGAATATTCATTTCTCCCTTATCAACTCAAATCATTTGAATCCTCCAATAATCTAATGCCCAAAATACTTCTGATTTTCCTAAATAATGGAACCACTCTGGTCATATCTGAAAATACAAGTAACTCAGATGTAAAGGATTTTGAATACCTTTCTGATTATTTAGTGCCTCCGAAAAATGTCCCAATACTTTATGAACATGATAAATCACATTCTGAATAATTGATGATCCTTACCACTAATGAACTCTTTCGATAGTGATTCTAATTTCTGACATTCTATCAGTATATTGAAGATCCCTGTTTCTCTGCCCGATAAGATTATCTAGTATCTCCGAACAATATCTGAAATCTATAGTGTGTTCCCTGATCACATGAATATTTTCTCTGATTTTTGTTCTGATCTATGCTCCGATTTCTGATATCTCTGTTTACTGACTAGAAATGTGTTATTTGGGGTACTTTGGTATCTGAATGACGACTCTGGCAGGTTCAGTTACTGCTGGTAATTTCTTGTATAGGTTTTACCCCGACTGGTAATTCCTATCTCTGGCAAGTTTAGTCGTTGCTGGTAATTCCTTTTATAGGTTCAACACCGACTGGTAATTCCTTATGGACCTAAGGTGACTCTTGGGTGGGCTCCTAGGCCTAATGGGCCTAGTGGTAAGACCTTATGGACCCTAAGGAACTCCCTTAGGGTGGCTCCTCTGATTTGTGCATTGGGTAAGTCCTTATGGACCTGAGGGCACTCCCCTCAGGTAGGTACCTACGCTTCGGCTAGGGTAAGACCTTATGGACCCAAGTTGTTCCCTTAGGTTGGCACTTACACCCTTTTGGGCCTAGGGTAAGTCCTTATGGATGTAATTTTGGAACTGCATATTGGCGTTCGGTTAGAGGGACTTACTATGGTTTTTGAGAAATATGTTTTAATTACTACTGTTTTAAAAATGATCTTTACATTTTCATGGTTTTGCGGGAACACACTAGACACCCCTTTTCTGATCTCCTGAACCTAGTCATCTAAACGTTTACTCTAAACTAGAAGCTTCTTGTCTTTCACTACATGAGATATCAGTAGGACCTTCGCTCAACATAAAAATCTGTAGATGTCTGAACCAATAAGAAAATTATGCTTACCTATTATGTGCATGTTCTTCAGCATCTTATGGTAGTTCTGTATTACTGAGCTTTTCAAAGCTCACTATGTTACTCACCTTGTCAGGTTAAAAGGATTAAACCAGTGCAAATATCGACATCAGTAAGGGAGTTCCACAGGCATTGCTTGCGGAGTACGGTGGATGTGATTAGGGGCATGTAACTTGTATTTTGTTTTTATATTTGAGTCTGAAATCTGTTTTATTTTTGAATAATGTTAATTTTTACTGTTATGTTTATAAATTGTTTTATGATTTTATATTTTAACAAAAATTTTAATTTTTCTGAGATTTTTACGGTGGGTCGCTTCGGTGGCCCTAATGTGACACCCCGGATCGGACCGGCCACCCGTATAGTCTGAGGGGGTTACATCTTTACCGATTTTCTTAAATTTCAACCGATTTTGTCAATTTCCAATTGGTTTTGTCAAATTCGTTACCTGTTTTGTCAAATTGAAATTGGATTTCTCAAATTTCAACCTGTTATATTCTCATGTATTGATACATGTGTAGATATCGATACTTTATAGGCGTTTTTATTGCAATTCTTTTGAATCACTAAAGTACCGATACTTTTATACATACAATTATAAAGGTATCGATACATGTCTACTTTTAACCGGTTTTCATCATTTTCTCATAAATTACTATGTATATCGATACTTTTATGCACTGTATTGATACCTACCGATAAGCTAAGTTTGACGATTTCCAATTTTTTTAATATTTCTTCATGTTTTTCACCTACAACATTATTATTACTGAACATTTTCGGTAGCGCTAAACCGACTTTGTTAAGTATCTTATTAAATTTCTGATCAGACCGTTTCTTAGCCGTATATTAATTAACCTTTCCTGAGACAATCCCATGAAATTTACAAAGTACACATATACTATTCCATTGATAGTGGAAACCTTTAGGGTAAACTATCCATTTGGTCATCCACTTAGTTTTTATTTTGGACACTTAACTATTATTTTTTTAATATTATACATAATGTTACGTTTTGGTCACTTATCATTAAGAAGTTTAAAATGATGATGTTCATGGCTATATGGACATACTCATAGAATTAATATTCTTGTCAGAAAGGTAGTTGTGTGAAGTATATCATCATCTACACAAACGACAGAACAATTCAAGGACATCACGTCTACTAGTCAGCCAATAAAGTAAATATACTATTACAAGGGAAGGTCCAAAGGAAGACACCTACCTATCCTATGTAACTATCGATCGTAGAATCTATCTCCACATCGATTCAAAATATTTTGATAAAATCATCAATTTCATTCATGTGAGGGATTGTTGGGAAAATGTCATAAATTGAAAATTTTGAGCCATATTTTCTATGGGTAAAGGTGGAGACTCAAATGATGAATTTAGTGATTCATATTATGTTTTATTAGACCTTTACAATGATATCCTATATGCTCAAAAAGTTGAATAATGAATGAGAAATTGATGCTCAAAGTATGACACTTGTGAATTGTGTAAGGAAAATGGAAAAACATATATCCCATATTGGTATGATAATAAGCATGCGAAGTATTTTTATACACCAACCCACTTGTTAGTTGTTGAATGATTTACGCTTTGATTGTGTCTCGCGCATAGGTGTAGAATGGGTGTAAATTGAAGCTTACCAAACCCATCGAGGTTGGGGTCACACTTGTATGATGTGGCTACGTATTCGATTGAAATATGGTATTTAAGTGAAACTTCTATAAATATCGTGCAAACCTTTTTGGTGGTTAAACACAACTAAAAAAGAATTCTTTTCTTCTCCTTTGGATTTTAAAGATAGACGATGATAATGATATAGTTCATGATCTTTACAACTATGCAATTGTAGCTTATCATCTAGTTGTTGTATCATAGGAGACAGACGATCAATGATCTCAAGTACCATAAGAGTGGTCGAAATTTTATCTTAAGGAAACTGCATAGCTCCAAGCCTCAACATGTTTCCTATTAATCAGTTTTTCTGTCTACGACAAGTAATCGATTTAATATTGTTTATATTCGATTTTATTTTAGATATTTTATATGTATTTTAATTATGTTCGATTCAAAAAATATTATCAATATTTGTTTATTATTTCATTCTTGGATTAACATTTTTTTAACAAAATGTATAAAAACTCTTTATTTGGTTAAATGAGAATTCTACTCAAATAAAAGTATTGTATGATAAACCAACTCAAATTTTAGATTTCAAAATCAATAAGAATTATATGAAATAAACTTTGTATTATCTTCATAACATAAAATTTAATATAAAATAATACTCAATAAAAACGTAGCTTAATTTGAACAAAATGTGCTAACAAAATAACTAAAATAACTGTGGCTGAAATTGCTGAGATCAATTCTTTACCAAATAGGTACTGCCTCGGTCACTATTAAAGAAAAATATGCTTCTACATCTTTTGCACCAACACTTTCCTTATTCTTTTTCTCTTTAAATAAAAAAATATTCTAAAAGAACAACAACAAAAGCATTATTGATATGATATAGGAGGAAGGATCGGATCGTACCTCTTAAAATTTTAAATTCTCTTATATTTTATGTATTTTTTTATAATTTTTATTGATTATCTAATTTTATATCTCTTAAATTATCTAATTTTACATCTCTTACATTTTTAATATAATTTTTTAAGTTTTCACCCCCTTAATGTAAATTATTACGTATGTCCTGGCTATTAGAATCAAATAGAACGAATCCAAATATTTGAGATGATCCCATGTCTCAATAGGTAAGAGGCTGACGACAGAACAAAAGAGAGCAACCAAACGATTGAATTTCTTACTTTTATTCTGCTGTAATTTGATATGTAAATTTGATTGGTAAAAAAATGTTGATGCTTTAAGAACTAGTAGTAACCGACAATAAAATTATAAAAGAAGATTAAAGGAGAAAGATATTATACAAATCTACTTATTATGTTTTAGAGGAAATTATTTCAACCTGACATCATTCAAATCAAACCATATTTGCTTGAAAACCTTGATGATAAGGCCATGATATTCATCAGAATTAAGGGAAAGATAACAGGCCAGCAAATCCTCCAAATCCTTTGATGTCCTGATGTTGTTCTCCCTAATCATTTCCACCATTGATTCTCTGAAGTCTCTTTGAGGGTTGAACGACGACTTCACCACCGCGAAACTATCCGACAGACTCCTCCTCGACCTCGACCTCGAACTCGAAGACATGCTTTTCTGGGCATGACCCTGTAGTCTTCTGCTTCCCATTTTAGGAGAGTTTATTCTCAGCCTTAGCCCTGTAGAATTCACACAAGATCTCCTCCCCTGACACGTTTTCTTGTTTTCTTTCACTAAATATGAACCATGAACATTGTTTTCTTCAAATTTAGCTGAATTCCTTCGATGATTTGTTGGTTCCATGTTCTGTTCCTTCTTATAGTTGAATTCAACGGGCTTAGTTATGATCCGAGGGAGTTGAAGTTCAGAAAAGTTGTCAAACTCGTCCATCTTGTTGAATTTCTTGCTACCTTCATCGACAACGACGATGTCCATGGGCTGAGAATCCATGGCTTTGCAGCTAGAAGAATGCGACAAGGAAACCATATTATCGAACGATTGAGTCGTAAGAACGCAGTCAGACCTGAATTCTTGCGGCGGAGAGACACCATCAGAGGAGGAAGAAGCTGAGTATTGCGGCGGAGAATCAGGCTTTGTCCAGAGTGTGGCACGATAACGACAACCGGCAGAAACAGAGGAGCTAACAAGCTTCCTAGAAGAAGAAGACCTGATGTTACTTTTCCTTGATCGTTTTTGAGAGGATTTTCTCGGCGGGTCAAGTAAATGGGAACCTGCAGATTTGTTGTTTGTTGGAGCAACATAAAATCCATCACTGGGGACAAGCTCTCGAGTGAAGTAATAAGATTTTCTGGGATAAAAATGGTGGGGCTGCTTGGTTTTTGATGGCTGTGATATTGATGAAGAAGGTGATGAAATCTGGTGGTGGTGTTTGTTGGAAGAATAGCCATGGTTTCTGGGTTTTCCCATGTCTTTAAGCTTGTAAAACCAGGCATTGGGCATCATATCCGAGAATTGAAACCTGTAGTTTCCCATCAAATTTTCTCTCTGTTTTTCCTGGGAAAAAGTGAACGAAATGGGGGTATTTGAAGAAATAAAGGCAAGAAGAGTGGGGCCAGGTGTTAACTGAGTTGAGGTGTTGTTAATGGGGATTAATGAGTAATCAGAAAATTTTATATTCATATTCATCATTTTTTTTTTTTGGTATATCCAAATGTATACTCAGGTTTTGTCTGAGACTAATCCTCGAGGTACTGTCGGGCACGAAGATGGGGATCTCTCCCAAAAAATTTATTACATCCACAAGAATTCGAACTAGAGACCCCTTACTTAAGCGATCAGAATCCACTCAGACTAACTTTCGTTGGTTCATCGTTACTTTTTTTAATACATGTTAAACAAAGATATTATTCAATGTTATTGTTTTAGAAAATTTGGTAGGGCCCTAGGATCTATGATTTTCGTACTACGATTAACAATGGGTAGTTGGTTTATGTCTTCTAATCAATTAGATTGCTTTTTAGATTAAATAATTTAGTAAGTAATTTAGTCGGTTAGTCTAGTGAAAGATATATTAAGAATAGGTATATTTTTAAATCTAAATTTTCTTCTAATAATTATATATTTTAATGATTGTGTCACTCTAAAATTTTATCTGTACCCATACAATATAAAAATTTTATGGGATTAATATATATGTGTGTCACCCTGAAAAATATTTTTAGATCCGTAACTGAATTAGTCGAGTTGTTTACTTTATTCCTTTAATATTTCTTTAAGTTATGAGTTCTAGACCTACTAAAAGTATTCATATTCTTTTCTTTAAAGTCTCTCATCCTCTTCTTCTCTCTAGAAGGGATTATGATTAGTTTGGAATTTGTCAAAAATAAATAAAGAGATACCATTAAGTTATTGATGTGGTCACATCTATATTGGATCTAGAAGTAATGCCACAAGATCCTATCACCCGATCTAGAGCCACAATTCACGGAAGTACTATTTGTAACACCTCAAATTGGGGTCAAATTGCAAATTTTAAAAAGTTGTAGCTTGGTTTAGAAACATGTGGAAAGTTTAAGGTTTTGAACCCAAATTATCCATTTTTCTTGGACATGAAAAATAAACCCTCTTTCCCGATCAATATGGTTTCCCCCAAAATATTAACCCCAAATCTTCTCCCCGTCGACTCCTTTCGCCGCCTCGATCTGTCGCCGTCCGGCCACCTCAACCCGAGTTATGACCACCGAAATACTCATCGTCGAACGGTGAACAAAACCCGACTTCTATTCATTCGAAAACCGTCACAGGTCGCCGTGGGGAGCTCACAAAAATCATACGAATCCTTAGCCCCGCCGTTCATTTTTTCTCAAATTTCGGTTGCCTCGCTCATCGTTGTACCTCACCGCCGCCATAGTCGTGTTCCTCGATCTGTTGCGCTCAAGACCGACGGGGTCGCGTCAACGTCGACGATTTCGTCTGGTCGTCGGCATGGGTAAGAGTTTGACTCTTTTATTTATTTTCGATGAATTTTAAGAAGTTATTGGCAATTTATTGGTTGATATTGGGTATTTGGAGTTGTAAGAGAATTCGATCGTCAATCAACCATCTTCTCGTAGGTTCGCGTGCCCTCACGCACCACCGAGAGCTCATGGGACTTGCCCACGCTCCAAGGAAATTTATGAAATCAGGACGACCCGACCTGCCTGCCCTACCCGCTTGACCCGACTGAGTCAACCTACACTGAGTCAACTCGGCTGAGTCAATTCACTGGATCAACTCGTTAACTTTGACATAGTCAACCCGTTGACCATTGACCTTGACTTTTACCAAAAAGTCAAACTTTTCGAAAAGACCTATTTTATTTTTTTCGACGTCCTGAGTCCGATTTGAAGTCTGTTTTACCAAATTCGCACCCGGTAAGCCGTTTTTCAATGTTCTATCTTCGATTCAAGTTGGTTTCTAAATTAAGTTCAATTTGTAATGTAAATTTGGTTGCTTGGTATCCGAGGAATTACGGGGCATTGAATTCAAGTTCGAGGGTGATCAAATGGAGTTAAATGGTTGATCGATATGGCACAAAAATTGAGGTAATAGTTTACTACCTTTGAATGCTTTTCGGGACTCACTGATAAATGGTAAATGCATGAATGGAAATAAATAGTCCATTAGGGTAGTTAGCTATCTTGGGATTTAGAGGAAAATTGGATTAAAGAAGGAACATTGTATAAGACTCTGACGACTCGAAAATGAAATTGGTAGACTGATCGGAAACAAATTTCAGTTCAATGAATAAATCGATCAATCAATCAATATCAGAAAGCGTAATTTCTGATTAATCTCGTTAAAGATTAAATGATGGAAATATTTGGATAAGAAATTACCAAGAATAGCATTTGGGGTAAAATTACGAAAATGCCCTTATACCGAAAAATGACCCAGATATCCCCTAATGGTGATAATAACCTCAAGTGATTAAATGAACAAAATACTCTAAACTCTAAAGGAACTAGAATATATTCAAGCCTAAGTTATTCGAAGTAATTCCACTGTCATAATTAGATGAAATGATGATAATATCCTTAAAGTGTAATATGATTCGAAGCACGTTCAAGCCCTGGAATAACTAATACCCACAACTCTGAAATGAATTCAACAACCTCAATGATTGTGGATTAAATAAATGATTGGATAAGTCTAGAACTCTGATGAACTTACATGATATACCATTCATTTGGGTTATGAACCATAAATCAAGTAAGTCGACATTTTCTGATACGTTGAATCGTGGAAATGAAATAAAGACCTATGGAAGATATGTTTGTCTCCTTAAGATTTATTCAGAGAAGATTATGAAGATGATCTTTAGACAAGAATTGTTGGTATTAAAGAGTGAATACCCTAGAAGGGCAATGAATTGAACAGTCGACAGCATCAGTTCTGGGAGTTGTTCATCTCGAGTTGTTCGATAATCCGATTGATTGACATGGATGGTAAATTCTCTGAATTTATTTCTCCCTTATCATCTCAAATCACTATGAATTCTCTAAGAACCTAATACCCAAATGCCCCTAAATTTCCTGAATAATAGAATTAAATTCGGTCATATCTGAAACATAAGTAACTCAAATACAAAGGACTCTGAATACCCTTCTGATTTCTTAGTGCCTTCGAAAAATGTTTGAATACAATATGATCTTGATAAATCACATTCTGAATAACTAATGATTCCGTCAGCTAATGAACTCTTCCGATAGTGATTCTAACTTCCGGCATTCTAATGGTATACAAGATCCGTGTTTCTCTGCCCGATAAGACTATCCAGTATCTTCGAAAATATCTGAAACCTCTAGTGTGTTCCCTTATCACTAGGATGTTTTCTCTAATTTCTGTTCTGATTTCTGTTCTAATTTCTGATATATTGGTTATGAATGAAAATGTTTTATTTGGGGTATCCTGGGATCTGGTATGAAGACTCTGGCAGGTTCAGTCGCTGTGGTTAATTCCTTTTATAGGTTATGCACCGACTGGTAATTCCTTACGAACCTCCCTTGGGTAGGCTCTGCGGCCCCGAGATCTTTCTTAGGTAGGCCTCCGTGGCCCCGAGAACTTTCTTGGGTAGGCTCTTGGGCCCCAAGCTTTTTGGGGAGCTGAATATGGCGTTCGGTTGGAGGGATTATTATGGTTTTGAAACATGTTTTAAATGGTTTGTGGGAACACACTAGATGCCCCATCCTGATCTCCTGAACCCAGTTATCCGAAATATTTCCCTCTGAACGAAAAACTTAATGTATGTTACTACCTGAGATATCAGTGGGACCTTAGCTCAGCATAAAAATCTATAGATATCTGAACCAATAATGAAACATATAATTATCTGTTATCTGCATGTTCTTTAGCATCATCTAGTAGTTATATATTACTGAGCTTTCCAAACTCACTATGTTACTCACCATTTCAGGCTAAAAGAATCGTATCAGTGCAGCTATCAACTTCAGTAAGGGAGTTCCACTGGCGTTGCTTGCAAAGTACTGTGCATGAGATTAGGGGCATGTAGGTTGTACTTTGTTTTATATGAGTCTGGAAAATTATTTCTATTTATGAATGTTGACAAATTTTACTTTTGTATTTTTAAATGATTTTATTTTTACATGTTTTAATCAAAATGTTAATTTTTTTGAGATTTTTACGATGGGTCGCTCCGGTGCCCCTAATGTAACACTCGGATCGGATCGGGCCACCCATATCGGCCTGAGGGGTTACACTATTACTCAAGTGTCTTGATGCCTTTGGTTCGTTTGATAAGTTACCAGCACTTGATGATAAGTTCTATAATGTTTTTGCAAGTTGAAGAATAACTTACAATAGCTCACATCTTTATATTATGTGATGCATGTTATTTACTTAATTTATTATTGATTCACATTAGTTTTATATTCATTCAAATTGAACTCATTTCATTTCATTTATAATATGACAGCATATTAATCATGATTCCTTTAGCTCATTAAATGTAATTTCAGTTCATAAGGCTTATATATTAGCTCACTAATATCACACCATCTTATACTTAGCTCATGACATTAATCCATAGCTCACAAGCAATTAAACATGCACCACAACAAGCTTTTTCATTTATTCGAGCTCATTCCTTGCATTTTACCTTAGTTTATTCATTTGTGTAGGTACATCAATGGACATCACACATATTGGTAGCTTGGTGGAGTTAATATACAGCTCACAATCAGCTTATAATCTTAACCATTTTTATTTTATAAATCATCACCTTCTCAACACTTAAACCATTTTCATTTCTATATAAACAACCCACCGTATTCATCTACATCAACTACCAAACCATTCTCTTTGAACCATTAACTTACATTTGCAGGTTGGTTTGCTTCCTTCATAGATTCACAATTAAAAGAGTACAACACCCTTACATCAGTTATATATTTAATCTAATTTAATTTGTAATGTGAAATATTAGCATGGTTGTCAAATTGATTCATTGAAATTAATAATTTTATGAGTTAAATTAATAGGATAAAATTAAATAAGTTACGTGATCATTTATAAACAAAATTCAAGATAAAAACTATTAATGAGTCAATCGATTAAA